CTCCGGCCCGAATTCCCAGGCTCGACTCCACCATAGCACGATATTATTCGCTTTAGGCCCCGACCACACCCTCACAGTTTTGTTTTTGAGAACTCACACGAGAACTTCCCAATGGGTCACCCATCTTGGAAATGCTCTCGTAGCGAACTCACTTAACTTCAGAGTTCCAATGGAATCTGAAGTCAGTGAGCTCCCAAAAGGTCTCGTGCTAAGTAGAGATGAGAATATACATTTAAGACTTACATGATCCACTTCATTGGACGATGTGAGATGTTACAATGTGCCTAATAATTTAATTCAAAAATGATATTTTTAGACAAAATGTTTTGAACATATACACATACATGAAACAGAGGCCATAGAAGCTAGATTTACATACAATGTTCATGGTTGTCAAAAATTTGATAGCGTTCAATTGCTGATTGTTCAAAAGATATAGATGCCGAAAGCTAGATTTATGTACATAAGTTGATATTTTCAAAAGAAGGCAGTGTTCAACTGCTCATTGTTTAAAAGATAAACATACTACGAAAGCTAGATATTTGTACATATGTTCATAGTTATCGAATAGTTGGCATTGCTTATCTGCTCAATGTTCACGAAGATATTTCTTTGTCATCTTTGATCTTGCTTGTTTGCAAATGAGCATCTTTCTCTTGGTCATCATGTTGTTGAAGCGATGCCTCTTCTTTTTTGTTTTGTCCACGAGTTTTTTCTTACTTGATGTATATTAGGAATTAGAATCTGTAAGTACTCAATTTAAAAATAAAATTTTCACTTTCTTTAATCAAAATCAATTCTTATTGTTTTCATGTAAACTTGTAAATTTCGGTATCACAAAATGGATTACGATTTTAATTGGAGAAGACTCCAAGGACCTTAATTACCATTACCATGATGATTGATGTCTTGAGAGAAGAATAAGAATAGTGGAAGATGAAGCCCAAGACTTAAATGTTTATGCAAGTCAAATAAACTCGAAAACTAATATCATGTTCCTCAAACATAACTAAAATATTACTAATTGGATGTATGTATGATCCAACATTAAGTTATTAACCACATTGTTTCCTATCATTTCATTATTTGTATTCAAATTCCTAAATTTATGCCAAATTAAAAGTAGTAGAAAAAGTGAAATAAAATGAAAAAAGTGTTTGCATTAACCGTATCTATGTTAAACTAGAAAAGTAGTTTTTTTTTTTTTTTTCGTGATATATTTTGTAGCAATTTTATCCATATTAATTGGTAGGTAAATTAGTTTGTTCCAATTATTTTAAAAAAAAAAAAATACTACACCTATATTATATATTTTGAATCAAATAACATTCCTCTAACTTGTAGGTAAATTATTTTATATGTATTGTTATATATGTTAGACACGTTTTGTTGTTGTATAAACATGAGTGGAACATAATATTGTTGATTTTATACATCAAACTGCATTTCTTTTGTTATAGGTAAATTATTTTCCATGTACAAGTACTTATGTTAGGCAAGTTTAGTTGTTGGTACCTACACCCATGGTATAATTGGTGTAGGTAAATTATTGGAAATTAATTTGTAGTTAGGTAATGAACATTTTGCATCATTGGAAATGAACATTTCAAAGAGTAGGTAGGTAAATTAATTTGTTCTAATTATATAAAAAAAAATTACACGACACCTAGTTATATTTAATTTTTCCAATTATTAAAAAAATTTATGCTACACCCAACCAAATAACATTTCTCTAACTTGTAGGTAAATTATTTTCCATGTATTGTTAGATATGTTAGGCACGTTTTATTGTTTTATAAACATGGGTGTAACATAGTATTTTTAATACTATGCATCGAACTACATTCCTTCTTAATATAGGTAAATTATTTTCCATGTAATTAGTACATATGTTAGGCACGTTTTTTTGTTGGTATATTATTTTGCATCATTGTAAAAAGGAGATATTATATTACACCCATGGTATAATTGTTGTAGGTAAATTAATGTGCATGTAGATAATGAAATACAATGTTCTAATATATTAATAAAAAGGGATAAATTCAAAAGTATTCAAGAGTAGGGTGAAAAAACTAAATCGAATAGTTTTATGAAAATTCAAAACCTTTCTAAAAAATTAATATGCAATAAATTTTTAACATTAATGTCTTTTTTTTTTTCTTGTTGCAAAATCATTTACTATTTCCTTACAATTAATTGTCTACATCAAGTATGTAATAGGGGTATTTTAGGCATGTGAAAAATGTAAAATGTGTGAATTAATATGAAGTTAATGAATTTGCTTATGTGGATCCTAGTCATTGGGTTTTCTTTGAGTAAAAAAGTTATGTAGGGTTTTATATAAAGAAAATTGAGTTTGAAGGGCTACAGTCATATTTTCACTAAATTTAATGAAAAATCAGTTGAGCATGCAAACAATTTGTTTTAGAAAAATTACAAAAAAATTGCAAAATTCTTTCAAAAAGCACGTAAATAATTAGGCTAAAATACGAATATCTCATTCTTTTTAAGAAAATTCAAACTCACTGCAATTTGACAAAAATTCGAACTAGTGCAGCAATTTCTTGACATGTCCCTTTTAAGATACAACAGTCCAGTTGAATTGTTGTATGACTTGTCCCCACCAACAACTCGTAAACTCGATTGTCCTAGGTAAGGCCCAACCGAGTTAACATAATGCGCAGGAGGAAAACACCGTCACTGCCAATTCAATCGTCACCACTATCGGTAATGCTCGCCGGAGCTGAACACTCGAGACCCACCGATCCAACCGCCGCCGCCAACCCACTTTAAATGAAGACTTCAATCCAAACCTCTCATGGTTTCACTCTGAAATGCCCTCTTTCTCTTCCCCACCTCTCCCTCCTCTCACCAAGCCTAGCAAACGCCTCGCCGGCACCAAGCGTCCCTGCGTCGTCCAGTCTCTTCTTAAGCTCTGCTCGCAGGGCCACCTCTCGCAAGCCCTCTCCTCCCTCGACCTTCTAGTCCAAAGGGGTATCCGTTTACCCGCCAAGACTCTCGCTTTCCTCCTGCAACAGTGCGGCGCCGCCAGGTCCCTCCGAGAAGGCAAATGGGTTCACATCCATTTGAAGCTCACTGGATTCAAGCACCCCTCTACGTTTTTAGCAAACCATTTGATAAATATGTACTTTAAATGTGCCGATGATGTAGAAGCCCGCAGGGTGTTTGATAAAATGTCAGTGAGGAATTTGTACTCTTGGAACAATATGCTTTCTGGGTATGCTAAGATGAGGAAGTTGAGTGAGGCCAGGAGTTTGTTTGAAAAAATGCCGGAAAAGGACGTCGTGTCGTGGAACACCATGGTCATTGGTTGTGCTCAGAGTGGAGTATGTGATGAGGCTTTGAGGTTTTATAGAGAGTTAAGGAGATTGTCAATTGGTTTCAATGAGTTTAGTTTTGCGGGTGTTTTGACTGCTTGTGTGAAGTTGAAGGAATTGGGCCTTACTAGACAAGTTCATGGGCAGGTTTTGGTTGCTGGGTTTTTGTCAAATGTTGTGCTTTCTAGTTCGATTGTTGATGCTTATGCCAAGTGTGGGGAGATGGGAGACGCGAGGAAAGTGTTCGATAGCATGCCTGTGAAGGATGTTCTTGTTTGGACAACATTGGTTTCGGGGTATGCGAAATTTGGTGATATGGAATCAGCTAGTGAATTTTTCAATCGGATGCCCGAGAAGAACCCTATATCGTGGACAGCTGTGATTTCCGGCTATGCTAGAAATGGTTTGGGGCATGAAGCCCTTGCATTGTTTACAGAGATGATGATGTATCAAGTTAGACCTGATCAATTTACATTTAGTAGTTGCCTTTGTGCTTGTGCTAGTATAGCTTCACTTAAGCATGGTAAACAAGTACATGCATCTTTAATACGAAGTAATTTTAGACCCAACACTATTGTTGTGAGCTCTCTTATCGACAGTGTATTCAAAATGTGGGGATTTGGGGGCAGGAAGACGAGTTTTCAAGCTCATGGGTGATAAGCAAGATACTGTATTATGGAACACATTGATATCTGCCTTAGCACAGCATGGTATCGGCATAGAGGCAATGGGATTGTTTGAGGAGATGGTCAGATCAGGAGTGAAGCCAGATAGGACTACCTTTGTGGTCATTCTCAATGCATGTAGTCATTCTGGTCTAGTGCAGGAAGGGCTTAGTTTTTTCCAGTCCATGACTAGTGATCATGGCATTTTTCCTGATCAAGAACATTATGCATGCTTAGTTGATCTCTTGGGTCGAGCTGGACATTTTGACGAGTTAATCAACCAGCTCAAGAATATGCCATGTAAAGCTGGCGATCAAGTTTGGAATGCATTACTCGGTGTTAGTAGAATTCATGAAAACACAGAGCTGGGAAGAAAAGTGGCCGAACACCTTATTGAGTTGGAGCCTCAATCTTCTGGTGCCTATGTACTACTTTCAAGTATATATGCCAAACATGGGAAATGGGAGTTGGTGGAGAAGGTGAGACAGCTTATGGATGAGAGACAAGTGAGGAAAGAGCGGGCCCTTAGCTGGATAGAAGTTGAAAATAGAGTGAATGCGTTCACTGTATCGGATCAGTTGCATCCTCTGAAAGAAGAAATATACTCAGTTTTGGAACAATTAGCTGGCCAGATGGAAGAAGATGTTTCGGTACCTAATTCTGTGAGGTAAAAGTTTGATGGTTTGTTACTTTGGGGTTTGAATAGGGAAAACTGGTGATATAACATATCCATTTTGTAGTTTGTAACATGTTTTTAAGCTACCGTTTTCATATTCTTTAGATTTGAATCTCAAAAAAATGATATACGTGCGAGATCTGTTCAATAAAATCTAAATTTCTGATCGCATGGAAGGTATTGTGTTTAGTTTTTGCATCATTTGCTTCTGTTTATTCATTAAAGACTACCACACTTGAGGGGCTTTACCACTTACAGTCTTACACTACATAAAAATTTCAACATTTCAATTATGTGCATGTAACTGAAAACTTGCCAAGTATGCTTATTTCTCATTCAGATTACAAGAAGTGAACATGGGTAGAAACTATTAGGCATGGGGTGGGCTTCTATTTAAATTTAGTTTGTCAAATTGGATTCAGGCTTTTTGCCTTCGGTAGCCAAATCGGCTCCAACATTTGAACATTTTGTGCCTGTCTAGTATTTGGTTTTCTGTTTCACCTGACTTAATGATTGTGTACATGGATCACTAGAAGTATCTATAGCCGAAAATAAAAAACGAATAGGATAGAAGATAACAGATTGAGAGGCTGATCAAGATTAAAGAAGTAAAACAAAAAGATTTGATAAGTGATATTGCATATAAGAGAAAAGAATGGAAACAAAAGTGAAAGGTTGAATTAATGCTGCTTAAACTGTGGCAGCTGATGTTCTGCTAAACCTCTCAAGAAAGTTTCATAATCTCATCAACCCCTTGCTAATTGATTCTGTTCTGTTTCTATTTCAATCGAGATTGCAGGTGATCCTTATCCTGAATACGAACTTACTCTATAGAGTTCGGATCTAAGGGGAAGTATTTTCACATGGCATCCCCCATGAAACTACATGGTTTTAGCTTCTTGTCAATTTTCTTGCTTGTCTAATTTAGGACTGTCGTTGCGGAACATTGCTTGGCTTGTCTAATTTTGTTCATGTGACCTTCCAGTTCATTCACGTCTTTTCTCCGACTGAAACGTTTTCCAGATTCATGACCATTCTCAAGCATTAACATTCTCTTTGTCAAAAAATTTCGAAACCTTTTGCTGTAACAGTAGAGAAAACTGTCTGATCGGAGGATGCTTTAGCGATGATTACTGATTACATGACAGGTAAACATTGTTCTTGCCTTCAAAACAGTGTTTAGAGTTCACATTCAACAGATGTGGTGTTTTATTCTTTGTCAATTTCACTGTTGTTAAAGCCATAATTCTTGCAATTTCCTTCAATTATTCAGCGTTTGTGCTCTGACTTTATTAGGTGGGTATCCTTTTAGGCCATAGTTTATGGTTGAATCCAAACAGTTATCAAACTTCACATAGAGGTCCTAATGTTACTATTCGACTCGATATCTGTAACGTGAATCGAGTGGATTAGTAACTGTACACCGTCGTTAAAAGTGGCGAGCAAAAATATTCTCTAAATGATTAAAATAATACAGTTTCTTGTTAAGTGAAACAACAAACGAAGGATGGATATCAAAGCCAACAGCTCATACAGCTTAGGACAGCCATACAAGTGGACCAACCAAAGAAGACAAATCAAATATTGATGAACACAATCGGACCATTAAAACAGATACATCGATTGTGACAATCCACCAATAATTCAATCAAACTGGCGACCCACCAAGATAATAGATAATTGCATTTTGTCCTGTTCTTAATCAAACCTTGAAGATAATTTTAAATATATTTATGCACTAATAAACAAAGTAAACTATTTCCGCAAACCCTTTTTCTCACTCCACATTTTCTGTTTATATTTTATTTTCGGATTGAATAAATTAGAGAAAAATCAAGGAACAAAAATAACAGAGTGAGCCGAAAGAATAAAAGATGAGCGGAAATCATTTGATATAAACAATAATCAGTTTTTGACTTTTTGTACACATGAATAGGTCTTGCAACAATAAAATGTCCGTTTTCTGCACAGCATCCTCCATTTACAACCAGAAAGGGTAGTAAAAAAAGTCTCTTCTTGTTCTTCTATTTTCATATTGGAGATGGGTTCCGAGGTCTCGAAACAGGTAGAACGGAGAAAGGCGATCGCGGCGGAGAAAAAAACACTCTGTGATCTTCACCAGAGCTGTGGTGAAGAGTTTCCATCATGTGCCTACAAGCCTTCAGACAGAAAAAATTGGATGGCTGGGGTCAACCCTGAGAAACTTCACATAAACAAGATCGTATGGCCGGGAACTCACGACTCTGCAACCAACAAGATTGGAGTTCCATGCATCACTAGGCCTTTTGCTCAATGCCAAAATCTCTCCATCTACCAGCAGCTCGAGAAAGGCAATAGAGTTCTCGATATTCGAATCCAGGAGGACCGAAAAGTCTGCCACGGAATCCTCCTCACTTACAACATTGATGTTGTGATCAACGACGTCAAGAAGTTTTTATCGGAAACGCAGTATGAGATCATAATACTCGAAATCCGAACTGAATTTGGACATGAAGATCCACCTGAGTTTGATAAGTACTTGGTTGATCAGCTCGGCGAGTTTTTAGTCCCCCAGGACGATCATGTTTTCGACAAGACTATTTCAGAACTGCTGCCGAAGAGAGTGATATGCGTGTGGAAGCCGAGGAAGTCACCTCAGCCAAAGGCAGGGAGTCCTCTGTGGAATGCAGGGCATTTGAAGGACGACTGGATTGACACGGATTTGCCATCCACCAAATTCGAGAGCAACCTGAAGAATTTGAGTAATCAGCCGCCGGCTTCATCAAGGAAGTTCTTTTACAGGGTGGAGAACACGGTCACGCCTCAGGCTGATAACCCGGTTTTGTGTGTTAAGCCTGTGACCGGAAGGATTCATGGATTCGCGAGGCTGTTTATAACTCAGTGCTTCTCTAGAGGTATTGCAGATAGATTGCAGATCTTTTCTACAGATTTTATAGACGAGGATTTCGTGGATGCTTGCGTTGCGGTTACATATGCAAGAGTTGAAGGGAAAGCATGAAGTTTCCATGTCTGTGCAGTCTTGTTCTTGTTTTCGTGTTGATAAATCTTCCTTCCCACCGTGTAATTCAATCCTTTCTACTACTTGTTACCATTTTCTGCATCCAAAGAGCTTGCATTGTTATTCTTAAGGGATAGCGAGGATGTCAAGGTTGCGTTGTTCCGAACGTATCACGTGTAATTCAATCCTTTTATTTATGTGTTTGTAATGTAATATATGAAGGGAGTAAAGAAGATGTAGTGATCTCACATTCTTCATTCTTGTTGGAGAAGAAACCTTTTTTTGTGAATAAAAGTTGATATTTCTCTAATCTCTGCTGTAAAACTACATATTCTAATGAATCTAATCATCTGCAGCGTGTAAGTTTGAGCTGGAGAATGTACATACATGCCGGAACTCCGGAACGTCCAAGTACTTTTGAGTTGTTCATAAAAGTTATGTTCTACTCACTGTTCTAAAAAATTTCACCTACCGCAGCCTAGGCCCTGCCCAGGCGCTAGGCGGGTGATTACCAACCCGATTAACCCTTATGCGTTGAAAAATTAAGGAAGGGTGCCTAGGCAAATGCTTAGCCTGCCTAAACCCACCTAGATCGCGATCCTCATTTAGACAGTGTTTGAGACTTGTTGAATACTTGGATTTCCAAATACTTTAATATGCCATCTTATTTTGTAATTTATGTATCCCAATACAATTATTTATTTTTGTAAGTATAAATATGCACTAATTTATGATATATAATAAATTTACTTAAATCTACCTAGTCCACCGCCTAGGGTCCCACCTAGCTGCCTAAGTGCTAGGCCTTAACCTATTGCCTGACTAGTATCTAGCCTGTTTTAGAACCTTGGTTCTACTTATAACCAAAGCGCTTATGAGTAAAAGTGTTTCCCGCATAGATATTAACAAGTGATCCCCCACTCTAATACACTAGAGAACGATAATTTTGTTTACAAATCTTAAGTGGAAAATCAACCTTGGAGCTGCAATTTTTTCTTCAAGAAGCATAAAAAAAAATAAATGGTCCTAATTGAATTAAGGAAATAATTTTCTTACTTACCAATCTAATGAATAAAATCAGCATTGGAGCTGTAAGGGTTCAAGGAAAAAGGAAATAGCAATAATTTTCAAATGAGAAAAGAATTATCCTTGGGTAAATAAAAGTAAGGAAAAGACTTCCACCTAGTAGCTCTTTGCTTTTTCCGACCAACTAGCTGTCGACCTAGTAGTAAATCCTACTTTCAATATTATAAGAAGTTCTAAGTTGGAATCCCCTCTTCCACATTGATTAAAATAAAAAATTAAAAAAAAGTGCGAGAACCTAAACAACCAATTACTAGTGTCCAAATGAGTCCACAAAAACTGTGTCCATAAGTTGTATTTACTTGCAATTACCACCCTGGAAGTGGAAGGTTCATTCACGTACAACATATCAGATTGATCAAGCATAGAAACGACATTGATAGGCGATGAGGCAGCTTCTCTTTTCATTGGCATTACGTACAAGATTCACTTATCTCAAACTTGTACCGACCAATCACTTTACAAGAAACAAAGTAACTAATTTGATCATGTGGTGAGGGAAGATTAAATTAGGACTCAGGAGCATGCCATTCAATACAACAAAGTGAAGAGAAGATAATCAAAAGTGTTCAGGTCACTACACTGAATTACAAGTGCGATATAAACACTGTTGAAGTTACGTTTTATGCGTTTGGGGTATACAAAACAGAGGAAATATTGGACCGGATGAGAAAACTAGATCAGATGTGGATATATGTCTAGTGCGGCTATATTGCTGGGAATTAGACAAAGAAAGGTCTACTGCGGCCTACTTCCTTCTACAGAATCTGTGTTTCAGGTCTTCCTCGAGTCGTTGGAATATTGGTGAGAATTCTCCTGCAATTAACATAAAACCATATCTTATAAATCTTCCATTGCAAAACATTTGGCGAGAGGTCCTGCAAGTTAATACGTAGGATGTGATGAACTATTCTTTCCTCGGGAAATTAAATGAAAGATACGCATGAAATAGTGAAAAACAGCATATGGTTACTTATTCTGTGATCATCACTGTCATCCTTAATGAGAGTGTCTAGCATATTTCTTGGAGCTGCCTCAAAGTTGAGCAAATACAACAACTAAAATTTAGTGACATCCAACTGATTTTAACGGAAACTAAAGTGGTTCAGAACAAGTAACATATGAAAAAGTTCATGGAGACATGAATGCAAGTCAAAATGGTCAACATAGGCAGTCAAGACAATTGTAGGTCAATCATTTTCACGATCAAAATCATTCAGACGCACAAGGAAAGATAGATTGCACTGATGTTGGTGACAATTCAAAGCTAGTAAAAGGAAGTAAACGCATCACCAGAGCGTAGTACAATGGTTTATGTTAATAGAATTTGAGAAATAGGTAGGTGAAAACCTGAAAGTTGACTATCTCTCTGCTGTAGTGAGCCTTTCACCAGAAGTGTCCCTCAGTTTTGCTGAAATACCTATAAGAAAGAGAACTTCGTCAAACTCAAGCACAAATTCTAAAGACAACGTCACCACATACAAGCCAAGTAATGACAGCATCGTACCGAAACATGAAAACCTAGATGAATTGAAGGCAAATTCAAACAGCTTGAACTTGTGGATGCCTCTTGCTTATCTTCACAACTGAAAACTCTATCACAATCTTGTGACTCACCCTTCAAGATTGCATCTGAGTGGTCTTTTGTCATTGTGATCTGTTAAAAGTTAGATAGTGCTGCTTGTAAGTACACACCAGTATCACTTGATGAATAAACAGAATAACAAATTAACAGATGAGCATACATCAACAGTAAATGAGGATGTGTTCAAGTTCACATGTCCACATTAGTAGGAACAAGACAGTAACAAAATGCAAGAGAATAAGAACTATGAGATAACGCGATGTAAGTCAGTCCTCTCGGTCCTCAGAGATGATGATTGTATTCCTAAATAAACACGTATTTGCTTATTATAGAAAAAAAGATATTAGACCAAAAAAATAGAAACAAAACAATCTGCTAGTGCAAACAGTGGCATAAAAAATGGAAGGAATTTTAAAATCTTTTCAGCTCACTACTACTGGGATTGCAAACTTAGGGAAGCCATAATGTTGTACTAATTATTGAGCAAATTACATGTGCAGGGAAGGACTAACTACTATTCATCTTTCAATAATTAGAATTGTTCATTAAAAACTCAAGAAAATAAATTCTTGGAGGTCTCCAGTTGACATTAGAATAATGGCATCATTGCTACCAGTCCTCGTACCAAAATAGTTCCTCCTCTCATCTAAGAGCAGGTTTGTCATTCAAACAATCAAATGGATGGGGGTTTGTCAGGGTGGTTCACAGGGTTTAAGGGAATCCTTAACCTCATGTTGAAAACTCACAACTTCCAATTTGCAACATTCAGAATATCAGGTAGATGCTTAAAATAGGTGGTTGAAACAATATAAAAGAAGGACAAACAAACCTCAAGCTTGAAAGAGAGATTGTTCTTCACAGCCACATGAGATGATACTAACTTCTTGGCAGGAGGCAAAAAGGACCGGGCCAGCCCCCATCTGAGATTTTTGGCTTTGGACCAATTCAGTTGTCTTTACCATGGTGACTCCAACTTCCCAAAGCTTTGACGTTAGGATTTTGATGTTCAGTTTCCTACCGACCATTGATGTGTACCACCTGCAAGTCAAGGGGGAGGCATAAGAGCTGAGTTTTTAAGAAGATTACCCTGAGACAGAAGAGATTTGGAAATAACATAATGGATGATAAAGAACATTACTGAAAAGTATGCTTCAATGTGAAGCTATCTTCAATAATGCGAGTGATGAAAGCCCTCTCTCCACCAGGACAAACCATCTCGGTTGTGGTCCCACCACATGCAGTTTTTGGATTTAGTCCTGCTTCCTCCATGGTCTTGAAAAATGGAGGGTTACACATGCAGAAGTCAAACTCCACCATCCTTAACCACACCTAGGAGAATAGGTGGCCCGTGATATGTGGATGAAGAGGAGGGTGGAGGCGCTAATTCCCTCCCACATCTGAGTCAATTCTATTTTTCTTTCAGTACTAACCAACATCCCATTATGTGATCCTTCTACCGGAAGGGTCTCTTTACCACTTTCAATCTTTCTAATTTCAATACGTTCCGAGATATTTGAATTATCTCTAAAAAAAATTTCTGCCCACTCTAGTGCAACATCACTCATATCTGCAATCAAGGTCAGTGAAAATGTTTTTTAGGTTCTGCGCCAGACATTGGCGTATTTAAAAACCAAGTCTCAAAACACTAACAAAAAACTAATAAACAACCTGACCCAACGAAGCTCCAACCTAGAAGAGAAGCACCAAGAAGCGGATATATGCAGTTTGCGCCAGTTCCAATATCAAAGCCCCTCACTTTATCACCATTGCTTGGAGTCTTCACAATGATGTCAGACGAGAGAAGATCTTCAATCCAATGAATGTAATCGATCTATTGGGCACAGTAGGGCACAGCTGCCCATCAGGAATCCACCTGGGAAATTAAATTCACATTGAACGTCCTACATATACAAACCCCATGACAATGCAACTTCATTACCTGCATAGACATCAAGGATTCAACCTGGGTTTACACCCCATTGCAAAAAGGCGAGACCAACAAAATTTGAGAGGGAACAATACAATGACTTAGGAGTTAAAATGAGTTCGGACTTGGATATATAATAACTTAAGCCACCAGAATTTTATCACATTATTAAGCTGAGTATAAATGTGTCCTTCAATGTAACATTAAACCTAGGCTATGATTTTTTATTCTGCGTAATGAGGATGGTACCAAGATTATAGGTCTGTTTAAATTGATCATCCAAGTTAAACTCATAGGCTGCAATATTTCATACTTTCATACCTACTGGGATCATGGTACTACTATTGAAGCTAATTAGGGTGGCAATGGTCATGGATTCAGTGACGTAACTAAAAGTTTTTGACAAAGCAGATACACAATACAAGTAAAACCAAGGCATATTCAGCTAAAACAAGAAACTGGGTAACCTCAAAAAACAAAAAAGATACAAACTTTCAAATCAAAACCCATGAATTCTAATTTCTAACAGCTGCCCAAGTAGGCAAATGCAGATATGGATGAGAAAAATTACCAATTGAGGCGGTGGTCGTGGAGGAGGAGGACCCGGGTGAGTTCCCAGGTGGCGTTGAAGTCGGTCCAGTCGATTCAGGGACGACCGTCTCGAGAGAAGAAGACGAAGGGTTGGAAAGAAGGGTAGGGGGAAGCCAAGTGAGCAAAGTCGGGTGGGTTCTCGGAGTATTTGTTTCTCGGGTGGGTCGCAGGTCGCTCATCCTTTCTCTTCCTCTTCTTAATTTTGTTCATCGACATTTGAGACTGAATGTAGTATGGTGACAAGTGAGAAACGCGTCCTGTCACCCGCTGAATGACCTGAATTCTGCTCAGCACTTAGAAGTGCTTCTAATCATACTACATTCTGTAAAACTTACTAACTCAGTGTTTCACTATAATTGCTTATCCCACAATTATGGGATGCATGTATTTATAATACTTTCATGATAACAGTTTGGGTTTGAAAACCCTAGATACAAGGAGCGTTTGAAAAACAAAATACAAACAGAAAACCAAAGAGAAGATTACATCCACATGTTTAGATTACCACAGAAAACCAATCAAACAAACAAGTCCTAGAAACTAGGAACAACTTAGAGGATAAGAGTTTGATCCAAGTCAAACTCCTCAAGTTGCAGTGATTTCCTCAGCATACTGACCTCGTCTAACAGCCCCCGCAAGCTGACAGGTTGTGGAACAACGGGAAGCTTGGAGACAAGGAACTTAAACCGAGATGAAGACAGACCTTTGGTAAACAAGTCAGCAAGTTGATCTTGCGAACAAAGATAATTAACCAATAATTGCCCACGAACCACCTGCTCTCGTACATAGTGATAATCGACTTCCAAGTGTTTAGTTCGTGCATGGAAAACTGGATTAGACGCAAGAGCTATGGAAGATATATTGTCACACCAGATTTGAGGACGAACCAAATACAAATGCAGATCTTTGAATAATGATCTTAACCAGGAGAGCTCAGCCGCAGTGTATGCCAACTGCATGTACTCGACTTCAGCACTAGACCTAGAAACAGTCTTCTGCTTCTTTGAACTCCAGGATATAAGGTTGGAACCAAGATATATACAAAAACCACCAGTTGAATGACGAGTATCCGGATTCCCTGCATAATCCGCATCAGAGAAAGCACTGAGTTGAGTAGGTCCAGGTTTATATAGAAGACCATGAATATGCGTGGCCTTCAAATATCGTAAAATCCGTTTGAGGGCCATCCAGTGAGTTGTTTTGGGAGCATGCATAAACTAACATACTTGGTTGACAGCATAGGACAAAATGGAATTGCCAAGCGAAAACATCAACACATTATTGAAACAAGTATAGTCATGCTTTCCCAATCTCACATGCCCAAAAATTTTTGGTTTGATGCCTGTTCCACGGCAGTTTACTTGATAAATCGTTTGCCAACTAAGCTTTTGTCTTACGCATCTCCTTATGAAAAACTTTTTCAAAAAAAACCAAAGTATGATGTTTTAAAGGTGTTTGGTTGTCGATGTTTTCCTTGGTTAGTTCCTTATACACAAAATAAACTTTAACAAAAATCCAAACCTTGTGTTTTCTTGGGTTATTCACTGAATCATCAGGGCTACAAGTGCTTGGATTTGTCTACAAGACGCATTTATGTGTCTCGCCATGTCCTATTCGATGAGGACTGCTTCCCTTTTTAGGGACTCACATCTTCTTCAGAAAACGTCACACCTTTAGGTAACCTTCTGACCCCCGATCTCTTATTGACGTTTGACACCCCTAGCAGCCCTAGTTTGCATCCAACACTTAACCCTAATCCTGCTGTCTCATCTCTTTCCCCAGAAGTTAACCCTAATCCAACCACTCTTGCCACAGGCGCCTCTCCAACTGATACCCATCCTAACCCAACTTTATCTCAACCTTGCCCTACAATACTTGTGCCTTCCCTTACTATCCAGTCTGTTGCACCATCGAATGAGCAAGTCGCTGAACATTTTGAACCTATGCTCCCTGCTACTCCTGATGTTCCACACCATCAAGTGCAATGGAGAGCGGGTTGGCTCTAATGGTGAGAGAATTGTTTGCCAAATCTGTGGCAAACCAGGTTATCCGGCCCTTGATTGTTATAATAGGATGAATGCTGCTTTTGAAGGATGAATTCTCACTCAACGCCTCGCAGCCATGTCGTATGCCCCCGTCACTCTCAACAAATAATAGAATGGTACCTGGCTGTTGGACACCGGCGCCAATGCTCACATAACTCCTGAGATTCAGAACCTTGTTAACCCTAAAGAGTATAATGGTAATGAAACTGTTGGGGGTGTAGGTAATGGCTTTGATACCATGTAAAACTTACTAACTCAGTGTTTCACTATAATTGCTTATCCCACAATTATGGGATGCATGTATTTATAATACTTTCATGATAACAGTTTGGGTTTGAAAACTGATACAGGGCTTTGAAAACAAAATACAAACAAACGAAAGAGAAGATCCACATGTTAGATACCAAAAACAATCACAACAATCTAGAAACAGACAACTGAAGGAAAGTTGATCCAAGTCAAACCTCAATCGGTGATTTCCTTATCATATGACCTGTCTAACCCATTCACCAACAAAAGTGCTTCCAATCTTAACGGCATTCACTAACAAAAATGCTTCTAATCATTTTAAAATCGTGTCTAGTATATCGGCCAACTCTACAAGCGCTTTCTGATAATTGCGGTTAGGCAGCCGAAATTTGGGCTTGCTGAAGTTGGACTATCATCGCCCACATTCTAGCTTGCGACTTCAAAGGCCCATGAGCTGAGTTATATTATCGTGGTCTATAGAATAAGATTGTTAATGGGTCAGCCAACTACAGTTTGGGTTTAATTTTATGCTTACGGACTCCAATCTCTCCACCCATCCACACTGGTGTGGCGTTACACACATTTCATTTGAGGTAACGTTAAGAAGACTACATATTTATATTATATTGATGTGTTAATCACATATGATAAGCAATGCAACCAATATAATCAACATTCAATTAGAGAAATTTATTAATTCAGTAATGTATACACATCACTTGTCATCTAACGTGATACAGAATTATTGTCTCCTTGACATTTCTATTTTTTACTTTAGTTTTTTGTGTGGCCCGTGTCACTTGTCATAGGTTGTTTGCCTTTAGGCTTTTGGTTCGGGACTTTGGAAAACATGAGCTTGAAAAATTCTTAGTGATATAATGTAGTGGTAATTTTTTTTTTTTTCCATTTTCTAGTTTGAGATTTCAAGTTTGAGCCACTTAAATGGCAATTTCATACTCAAATTCTCCATCTTTTGGAGTACAGTAACGCTATTTAAAGAACCATGACATTATATAATAGAGGAGAAATTTCATACAACAGGAATGTCATTATGGTGGTCTCCTAAGTTGATAAGAGAGATATACAGTATACTTATAGTTGTACTACAAAGTGATTGCAAAGTTTTTTCTCTATGAGATGAGTTAGATGTTTTTTTATCCATGGGGGCACATTGTCCCTACAAACAGTTTTTTTTCCTTTTTCTGTCAAGTTACTATCCTTCCTCTCCAGTGCATTCCTCGCTGTCATGCAACTTCAGCAAGGATCGATACAGCTGATGAAATCTAAACCCAAATATGTTCAAGACCAAGGACAAATCTATTGCAAAAACATAAGATTTCAACTTGTATAGAAACACTATCAAACCATTCAAGAAACTCTCATGTTTGGCAAATTGTTTTGTTATACAGTCTCACTACCAATAAACAAGTCTACAAACATCATTTGAAAGCACTAATGACTAATTTACTAATTTGTAATCAGAATGAGAGAAATTAAATTGATGAAGAATTGTATTAAGACGAAATTAAAATAAGATTTATGTTAAAGTTGTTTACTAAACTATCTAAAATCAAAGTAGGAATGATAGATAATTTCTTATAATTGTTTACAAATTCATTTGAATCGGAATTAAAATTAAGTTGATTACGATATTGCCCTTTCTGTACAACATATATTTTAGATTATCCAGTAAAAGATGACAATATCCGGCAAAAGAGAGATCTTGTCTTGCCCTTCATGGGAATCTGTGAACCTCTCCTCCCTCCCACCTCTATGTTCCCACTTCCACACTACCCCATAGGCACCTTCTCGTCCTCCTCGGTCGCCGCCACCACTCTCTGCGTCTTGGGAGAAGCTATTCTGATTTGAGGCTCTACCAAATTACCAATCTCATGCAGAGGGATAAGAGCCACGATATTTGATGGTCCTGCTGGTGTTGTGGTGGTGAAGGCACAAGAAGTCGGTGAAGAGAGAGGTGAGGGGAGGGACTGCTACAGGTGAGGATGCTCTTTTTTCCTTCAGATAGAGTTGAAAGCTCCAACAAAATTTTTATCAGAACCCATTTAAACACGTTATCTTTCACTTTTTATGTTTTATTTTATTTCAATACATATCGTACTTCTTTTCTCCGGAATTCAAATAACATTTTCATACGAGTAAAATCCAATTCTGCAAAATTAAGAGTCTGATCTGATCACAGATTTTAAGTGGACGTATTTTCATTTTCTAAATACTAAATAAACACCTGAATGCCTTAAAAGGAGGGTAATTCCTTTTCTTCCCACTCCATCCAGGTCGGTAGACAAACCATTTATGAGTGACAATAGTTTGGCACACGTCCTCCGAAAAAGAAAAAAAAAAAAAAAAGTTTGGCACACAAGTGGAGTGGTTGATGAATAAGCTCCCCACAGTCGTTAGTTGCTCAAACGTTCTCATCAGGTCTGAGAAAACTATCTCAATCTTTTGTCTAATTTAATTAAATTAGCAGTTATCTTTTGAGATTTAATTAAAGTGGGATCTTGAAGTTCCTGGTAAGAGCATTCTCAATGGAGGCTTTATTTTGCATAAAGCTATTATATTTTCAACCTTAACAAGAAATTTTATCTTCAATGAGCCAGGAAATATGGTTAGATTTACCATTGGAGTTAGTAACTTCTTTTCTTGGGTACCATAAAATCCGATTACATCTAACCCAAAAAACAGTGGATCCCACAAAATAAGTAGCAACCAATGTGAGTAAAATTCTATCACTCTTCCTTCATTTGCAAATACACTTATACTTTATTTTTATTATTTTTAATTATTTTTTCTTACTTATTTTTCTTGCAATTTGGCTAATTAATGATTGTTTTAAATTTCATAAGAATTAAAATTTCAAAATGATTTAACGTTCATAAGCATTGATGGGTGAAATTTTCAAATAATTTTTTTTAAAATTATATGATATTAATTTACCAATTGATGCAAGGTAAATTGTTGTGTTATGAAAAATTAAATTATTTCAAAGGACAAAGTGGAGATTTGATTCTTTCAACTGATGAGATTTTGATAAATAAATCTAATCCAACAAACGATTTATAAATGATGAAATTTAATTTTATCACAATTTGAACTTTTTATGTTGAAAGATTCATTTAAAAAAAAAAAAATTTAAGATAGGACGTTTAAAAAAGAAAGTAAAAAGTGGAGATGCTTTAAGGATGTGAGAAGTGGGGCCAATGAAAACAAATACAACAAATCATGAATTCACTGCACCTAACTTTATCTATATATCCGGTGCAGGGAGGGGAAAGTGGGACCACTGGAGGAAAGTGTAGTCCTATCCATATAAACAGCACAGCTGACTCAGCACAGTACGGCATCCTATGGATAAGCTCTTAAGCCCTTTGCACAATTCCAAGAACACTTTCTCATGGTGTACAATCCATGTTACTAATTTTGCATTGGTTGATCGTTTAAAACGATAACATTATATTATAATCGACAGTGCAGATGATGTTTTTATGTATCATTCATCCATGCAATTGTTCGAGATAGAGATGTTTTTGGTACAATATTTTAATTGAATCTTGAATATATGTAATCATCGACAACAGATGTTTAAGTCGTATTGAAGAATCAAACAGAAGATACATAATATCCACTTCTATATAAACTAACACAAACAGCTTCCCATTTATCCCAATCCTCAAGCCCTCCAACACAACCTCTCACTCACTTCACTCCTTATCTCAATCTCCTTCCTAAAAATCTAGCACCTAAAAAACCCCAGAGTTGAGTCTCTTCCTACCAACCCAAACAGATTCCAAAGATTCAAACCGGCGACGTTTGAAAACTTCATCATGGCTGCAGCAGCTAGCTCAACTTCCTCACTGTACGAGGTTCTTGGCCTTCCAATGGGTGCAAGTGGCCATGAGATCAAGGCAGCCTACAGAAAGCTGGCCAGAAGGTGCCATCCTGACGTTGTCGCCATGGACCAAAAGCAAAACTCTACTAATGAGTTCATGAAAATCCATGCAGCTTACGCAACGCTATCGGACCCCGATAAAAGAGCAAACTACGACAGGGATCTTTATAGATGTCCCCAACCTTTCCAATCTTCGTACTCGTCGGCGAACATGGCTGCGGCCGCTTCGGCAATGGCGGGGTCTTCCCGACGGACTAATAGGAATTGGGAGACTGACCAATGTTGGTAGCTCAAAACAGAGGAAACAGAGGATCCCCTGTTTATTATGTGCATTTATAAATGTCTGAAATACATTTTAGCTTTGTGGTTTGTTGGCTTATGAATATTGTTTGTTGCTAATGGGATAAAAATCAAAAACCATTTTTTTTGAAAAAAAATTACTATTATTAAGGAGGAAGAGGAAAGTTAGAAACTATCGCCATAATTTAAAGAAATAGAGAGTTTTGAACTAGGTCGCATGAGGAGAACCCCTACATCCAATCTACTAAAATATTGGATTACATGCAGATAAAATTAAACTAATTAAGTGTCATGCGTTTGGTTGCTAGAGTTTTCATATTTGAGATCGCTCTATTTGTGGAAAAGTAATACGTACTTATTCTATTAATTATTACAGCAAACAAATGATCAAACATCTTGCAACAAAATGGGTCTCCTCTAAACACACCATAAGCCATTTATGCAACAATTTATATAAATTTTCATACTAAATTTAGGAGAGATTTAGGTGCAACAACAACAATATCGACACTATTAATAGTAAAGATTAAATAAAATAACTCAAGTTGTTCGTTCGTGGCCACAAATCAGTCTGTTATCAACAATATAATTCATCACAACCAGACATAAATCTAAAGGGTGCACCTCCCTTTCAATGTCAATGTTCCATTTCCTTTTTCTTTGTGGAAGATGGACCCATCTACACTCTCGCTAGGACCTCACGCAATTAGTCCGTTATCAACCATAACCTTATCCGATTCCAACTTAGTCGCTCGTACTATGCAACCTTTAAAGATTTTTTTGTTCAACAATTTTGATACTTTCCATTTGTATGATTGAACTGTTAACTGGTAATCAAGAGACATTACTGGTGTGGAATAATGAAAATTTGAGATATTAGTTAAGGCAACGTGTCCACTTCCTTACGTCCGAGTTAAATAACTCTCACATAATTAAAATGATTCAAAACATAATATTGATTCACCACTTAGTATTACGATCTGATGGTATTCCTCTTTACTTGTAAATAAGAGGTCTTAGATTTCATTATCGTCAAAGACGAATTTGAAACCATATTATTGATGCTAGCCCATAACATATCATTTGTTCAAAAAAAAAAAAAAATATTTCTGTCCAAAAAAAACAAACATTCAATTCAAAGTTAAACTATTTCCAAGATAAGTTAAACTATTGGGTTGAAAAGTCCAATATTTAAAGGCAGCCCCTGTTAAGAATCAACAAATTTTCCATCAAGCCCAGTTAATCATCACAGCTCACCAAATTTCATGAGGATGAACCATTTGATCTTGGGCCTTAAAACATATATTTTGGAATATTGGTACTCACTCTTCATACGTAGAACTTAGATCACTGCGTCACTCAAAAAGATATTTAGAATTATAGAGTGAATTGAAGAGAAGAGTTCGATGTTTTAACTTGCAGCTTAAATGATAAGGGCAAATACTCATGTATCGGAGGTTCTTTGTTCGATTAATCTACTTCCTGTATCACTTGTATTTTAGAAAACATATAATTAGAGCCAAAATCGAACTTACAAGGATCATGGTTCGCATTTGTATATGAATGCTAAATTTCTGGATCAAATTACACGTAAAGTAATATAGTATTTGCCATACAGCTGAAAACTAGGCCAAACATCCACAAATATACATATTACATCAAGCGTGGAAGAAGGACAATATTAATTAGCTTAAATTTACTTTTGTAGCAACTCTTGTCGTATTTACAGCTTGTTGATACTTCTATTGATTGGATCAAAAACCATTTACAATGCCATTTTTCTGTCTAGAAGTTTTAACTCTCCGAATTTAGCTTCTCTAAGTGGATCTATGCTCCAAGAGACTTTTAAGTTTTAAACCCACTAATCACATATATTTTTCCCTCAAACTTTTCTCTTTCATAATCATCGTACTTTTTTCTCATGTCTACGGTAAAATTTAACACATGTGAATTGTTGTAACTGCTTACTTTGTGATGAAAACCACAACAAAATCAACTTAGCCTTTATTTTTTTCTAGATGAAGGAAAACTATATTAGTTCTAGATATTAATTGTTCAAAATTATACGATTGAATAGTCAAGTCGGTATACATGCACGTAAATTGTGTGTATGGCATTGCCCTAGTCCGAGTAGAGCACGTGCAACAGAATCATGCATGCGATGCAACTTGGCCTTGACCTTAGTCTTTTTGGAATCTTCATTGCGCTTCCCATAGATTACAGCATTACATGTGATGGCTTATACCTAACAAGAAGGAAGGAGACTGGGTTACCCTGTCCTCTGTAATGTAATTGGGGCAATGGAAGGAGCGACACGATAGTTTGGCTACGGCGTTTTCCTTGTAACTCCCTCTGATGTCCGTTGTTTTCTTTTGCTTTACTGTTTGCTTGCCTTGGTGTAGGCTCTCTATGTATTGACTAGCATCTTTGCCAGAGTAACGAATTCCCCAGTTTCAAAAAAAAAAAAAAAGAAGGAAAAGAGTGTCAAGGGTAATACTAAAGAGACCAAATATTTAAATCAAATTTACAAATCAAATGACATGACTATTGATTATTAGATTATTATTTAAGCACTGATTAACGTGTTTATTTTTTATTGATGCATATCATTTGGTTTGTAAGTTTAATTTAAAAAATTTAGTTTCTCTAGCATTATCATTTCCAAACATCCATAGCGCCATTGAGCGAAATTAATTATGTCATGTTTGGTAGAGAAATCGATCGGCAGTGAAAAATCCAAAAGAGAAAATGTTTGCTACATGGGTATATGCATCTGTCATAGTACAATTTGACAATGCAATTTTGCACTGTTCTTGCGCAAAACAAACGTTTCTGACTATTCTAATTCCTTTATAAAGAAAGAGGAAAAAAAACCAAAGGTTTTTACATATTGTTGGACAACTTCGTGCAACAAAATATTATTTGAAACAACTTTTATCAACTTAACTGATTAAGAGCATTCATTTAGTAACTTAATTAGATCTTGTGTTCCGTTCCCTAATAATGTGAAATACAATCATATGATAACTCTTTTGTGTTGATTTTGTGCTTATTTTTAAAATGATATCGTTTTGTGTTTTAAAAAACAATATATATTTTTTGGATATATTAAGGACAAGAACTAGGAGAAAAAATTATTATTATTAAGAAGAGGGATATGATTCAAAATTGATAAAATAACTTACCAAAATGGGGAATTTCGAATCCTGGATGCATGGATAGAAACTTAACATCTTATCCACTAGAATATTCAGATAACATACAACTAAGAGATGCACCACGTAACAATGTGTACTATCTTAACTATTTTAAAAATTAAATTATATAATTGCACAAGGAAATTTTGAAGTTTTTTATCCGTCATTCTTGGAGATACACCACATGACGAGTTTTCTAACTTGAACACTTAATTATAAGTTGGAAATTTTTATCCTTTGACCATTACATGTGCTTAATATGTTCTCACTACTAGAAAATACTATTTGCCGACCAAATTTGACCCGATGAACGGTATGTTGTCGGGCCAAGTAGTTTTACCCAATGAAAATTAACGTTAGTCAAGCAAAGCTAGTCAACATTTAGAGTTTTGTCGAGAGGCTTTGCGTGACAAAATGATTTCGGAAGGCAAGGATAAATTTTGGTGCCAAGGAAAAAAATGGCGTGTATTGTGTAAGGATTATTTGACGGAAATTATATTCGTCCCTAACGATATGTTTGTTGGGTCAACAGCTGGGCTAAGGCTCACAATGACATGTAAAAAAAAACACCGACAAAAATTTTGCTCGACAACTTTCTTACCTTTGCCCAACGAACTATTTTGTTGGGCAAACCCCTATTCATTAAAAAGGTCTGCGCCTTTTTCTTTCTCCCTTCTCCTTCCTTTTCTTCTTTATCCCTTACTCTGCCCCCTCCCCGTGCTGCTGATCTCAAAAAAAAAAAAAAAAAAGAAAAAAGAAAAAAACTCCTCTCTCTTTCTCTTTCTCTCACCTCACACCCATATCTCCCCATCTATCCCCATATCTCCCCCATCTATCCTTCTCCCAATTGATTTAAGATAGTTTTTTTTATTTGTTAAATATTTTTTTATTAATTGTGTGATTAATTAATTTTGATTGTTGTAGGTTCGTGATTGGATTGGAAAAAAATTAAAGAAAAGGTATGTGGTTGTCTCTAGGCTTGGCAAACAAGTGTTCTTTGCTGTGTTCATTTTGTTTTCGTGTAATAATTGCATGGCCGGCTCTGAGGGGGTGTAAGTGGTGCCATCGCACAAGGCCCCCAAATCAGAAGGGCCCCCAATTTTTCAAATTTGCATGCATATACATATATATAGTAGTATGTGCAAAATATTACGAACTTGAGTCTTAGCAGAAGTGGTATTATTGCTTTTTTACATCAGCCTAGGGGATGGGTTCGAAACTTGTCTCTATCGTTTTTTCAGTTCATTTTTATTAAATGCATAAGCTTCCACTAAATAATATAAAAATTTCACACAATGACATGAAAATTTGAACCCTGACCCTCTAAATAGTTAAGGAAAAACAATATGCCACATTTCCACTTGTTGATTTGTTAAATTTGTTTGAGCTATTAGAATTTATAGAAGCTCAATTGAAAACTAAAATTATTTTTTTTTTTAACAAAAAAATAAAATAATTAAATTCTTAGTACCTTTTAGGGCCTCCAATTCACTTTCGCACAGGACCCCTGAAATCTCAGGGTCGGCCCTGAATAATTGTTATCTTAACGGGTCGTTTCATGTCATACCCATTATCTTAATAGGTTCTTAATGTGTTGTGTCATTTTACCCGTTAAAATTAAAATGTGAAATGATAAGACCTGTTAAGAAAAATATATCTTATAGAATTTGCACGTACCACATGCCATATAAATACATTTGTCTTTGAGTACTACATACGATTTAATAAGTGCCTAATAAAAAAAAAATTCAATACACTGCTACAAAATATCAAATATACAAGGATACGCAAAATGAAAGAATTTTTTTAATAAAACATTGTGGAGCCTTACTCAAAAGTCAAAACCTTGCCAATGAGACTTCTTGGGTTGCATGCAATGAAG